AATTTTTTTTAAATGAAAAGAAGTTTAATCTAGATGGTCCTGACGGATTCAAATATTACTGACGGGGCATGCGCCAGCCAGTACAGTCTTATCTGCATCGCCAAAATGGCAGAGGGAGCGTCATGGTGTGGGGCGCTTTTAGCGCAGCCGGTAAGAGTGAACTGGCCCATCTTGCGTGGGTGTCAGAATTCAGGTGACTATATTTACACGTTATCTTAATATCTACTTCCTTTTGTTCACGCTAACTACGGTGTTGACTTCGTATTTCAGCAAGGCAATGCTTCGATTCATGCCTCGCATGAAACGAAGCAATTCTTGCAGGAGATGCAACTCAACACCATGGTTTGGCCAGCTCGCTCGCCTGACTGTAACCCCATCGAGAACGTCTGGTCGGCGATGGCGGCCAAGGTTAACGTACATGGCCGCCAGTATCAAAACGTTATTGATCTGGTGGCAGCAATCATGACTGCATGGTTAGCTACATGAAGGAATACAACACGGCGAACCCCAAATACCGGGCGACACTGATTGGGACATTGGTGAAGCATTATGGAGATGAAAACCTGGCAAACATAATTGATGCCGCAATGAGTGTGAAGGATACAGCGACCATTGCGAAAAGACTACAGAGCGAGCAGTTCCAACTCTGGATGCAGAAGCGGTTGTCTCCAAATGCTATCTTCGATGTGCTGCATCTTGACTGAATGGGAGATAAGCTATTTTCCGATCAACTATTGATCACGTGGAACAAATATTTGAGTACGTATAACCGGGAGAACCTCGACAAGAGAACGGCATTGCTGTCGCGAAACCTGGGGTAATTGTTCCGAAGATGGAAAACTTATTAATGAGAAAACAAATGCAGGTAGAAATCGAGCTGGCTGCGTCTACCATCCTTAGCCTTCGCCAGGCTCCTTGTTACGCAGATTGGAACGCGCGCAAGCGTCCTATCTTAACTCGTGTTGTGTGCTCGAGTCCCATAGATGTTGTTGCCGTAAACTTGCTCTTCATCGATAGGTCTCTCGGCGCGTGCCTCAACGTCCAAGACATCTTCACTGACCTGCAACTCGGACTCACCAAAGTCTTGCTGAGCCCGAGCTTGACCGTAATCCAGGCGACAATTGTGGACGACCCCGAGGGCTCACGGATACACGGACAAGAGTGTGGGAAATTTTAGTAGCTGTAGCGAAGAGGACACCCAATATCCAGATATCGGTGCTAATATGCGAACAGAAGTTCTGCAGTACTGGTTGGCTGCCAGAAAGAGCCCAGACTACGTTTTTGCGCTACTGCAACTCGACAGGGCAGTGACCTTCTGACTGAACCACTCTTTAGTACTTGGATTCAGTACCTCGATGATTTTCACGGGAAGTTCCCAAATACGGACAGTACACTGATGTCTGTCTTTCAAAGATACTTCAGCTATAATGACTACTC